TTTAAGCAAGGATATATATTTATTACAGTAATACAGCTTTATAGCATTTTACATACAGAATAAACACAAACACAAAGCATCAAAATATAAAAATGGGTGCCTAAAGAAATAATAAAAATACCAAAGTATCTCCACGGACTCCAAAAAATATTGGAGACATTTGCTGACTAACACAAGTTTTGTATGATAAAGATCTTGTACACATAATTGTCATATATTGTTATATTCAAACTTCAACTATCTCCAGAATACCTTCAATAATACTTTGAAAATCTAAGCAATGTCCACAGCAAATGATACTTAATTCCTATACATAGAAAAAATACAAAGAGATTTTGTACACTGCTTGATATTGCATGAATAAATACTCTTAAGAGCTTAAAAGTACTGAGGATTGCATGTAACCCAGTGTGCACTTTGCTTCTTTTGGGCTGTCTTGTGAGTGTCGAAGAGTGATTTGTATACTTCCGAAGCCTTTGGGTCTGATGCTACACTGAAGCCATTGGACCGCACCTTCTCGAAATCTTTGTCTCTAAGGACAGCTGAAGCCAAACCATTTACCCGAACAGTAGATTTCGAAGTACTTGCGCCTGCATCTGTGGAAATATCATCATATTAACTCATCACATTAAAATAACAATCTAAATAAGAAGACAAATAAATAATAATAGTAAAGATATCAGTAAGACTACTTTCTTTTTCACTAATCACTGCTATTTCCAAATGCATAACCCCTTAGGTTTGAGGCCCCTTAATCAAGTAGTCTAACTGTACTTCTAGCCCCCAACTGCCATAAAATCCATTGAACTCCAACAACTCAACTGGGCCTTCTTCTCTGTGACTGGATGGCTTCTTCTTCCATCCAATCCTGCTTTTATAAGCTCTCTATCCCATTCCATCCCATCCCTTGCTCCCTCTCCCAAGAACCCTACTCATAGCTTTCTGATTTTGTAAGTCTTCCCTTTTTTCGCTTGTATGTAACTACAGTCTTCATGCCCAACTATTCAATAAATGACTGATATAAACAACTGCCATTAACAATAGCTCTCGAAAGCATATTCGAGAGCTATGTCCTTGGTGAAAGTTGAAAATTCGGGTTAATAAAAGTTAACAGGCCTTTCAGGATTGACCATTCCCTTTCAGCTCTCAAAACTCGTAGACTAGCAAGATTCAGGGAAGATCATACTCTATATCAAGGAGCAAGCAAAAATAACAACACCCAATGCTTCTCACTCTACTAACCTTCAGAGGTCTTTGCAGCCTTCTTTCCTTTGCTGGTGTTTGCTGCCTCTTCCTCCTCGCCTTCTGCTGACCTCTTGGCCTCTTTCTTTGCCTTCTTGGCAGCCTTGGCAGCCACACGGCGGGACAGCATGCAAGCTTTGACCGCATCTTGCTCTTCTTCTGAAGGGTTGAGTGGTACTACATCCTCATCACTGTATGGCTTGCCACACTTGTGGCAAACCTCAGACTTGACCTCCTTGAGTGCCCTCTCAGAGAGAACGCAGCCACAGCTCCAAATAAAGGAGAAGCGGTACTTGCCATTCATCTCGAGCGAAGTGACAGGGCAGATGTACTCGGCAGCCTGGTGGTCTGTATAAGCATCACCCTTATTTGCACCTTCCTGCTTGAAGCCAGGATTTGGAGTCAGATTCAACTCCTTGATGTCCTTCAGGCCCTTAATGTGTGACATGCTGGCATCTGTTGACCTGTCTAAGAGCCTGGTCAGGACCTCTTCTTTGTTGTACAGACGGCCCATTTCACATGCCACAATGGGGGCCTTCAAGCGAGTCTGTGAAGCAGCACAGTGACGCCATCTGTAGAGACGTTCTGAGTCTTTGTCTTTCTGCAAGAAAAAGTTTAAATATAAGCAAACTATTGACAAATAACTTTTCCAATACATCACTCACAAAAATGATACAAAATATGTATATGCATCTGAGTGGGTGAGTGAGTATGCATGCGTGTGCGTGTGTGTATGTGTGTGTGTGTGTGGTGTGGGGGGGGGGGGTGTAAATGGAATAACAGAACTATTGGAAATTTAAATGATCTGCAATTCTTAAAACATTTCTTCAACATCTACTGTAATAATATTTACTCTAACAACAAAATAACGTTTTCAATTTAGGTAATAATCAAAACTGTTTATATGATATACATCAAAAATAGCGTAATACTCTACTCTAAAGTTTCATTTGTTACAAATATATAAGAATCAAGATATTTTTGACTGCTAGTCAAGACATTATACAGTATTAACAAAATTAATTTTGTGCACAGCATGCTAAACGAAAATATGAAACTTTGGTTAGACAGACCAGTAGCATAGACTATTAGTACTAATGAGTAACCAGAGTTGCCTGATATAGCATTTTGATGTCTCTATCCTTAAATCCGTCTATTATACTATCAACATATTCACCACTGAACATATTAGTATTTTTTTTGTGGAGGCAGAGGAATGCTCCTAATCAATCAATTTAACATCATGTGTGCCATATTGTTTCTTATCATTGAAGTTTATAGCAGATTGCACTTATTCAAGATGACACAGAGATTCTTTTGGATTGCATTTTGCAAATTCATTATCAAAACTTGTGCTTTCCTTGACATTACTTGGGTGCTCATTTGTATATATCCAAATATTTTTCAATTTCTTATAAGCAACTACTTAAAGTAACATTTCTAGTGAGGGTGCAAAAACAGAAACATAACAAAATTAACCCATAAACTGAACTAGACATCTTCAGAGGCAATGTGAGTAACTGTGCCAGACATCCTAAGACAGATGACAGACGTTCTGAGCTGCAAATAAATTTTTTTTGCCAAGCTAGGGTAAAATCCAATGAACCTCAAGTGGCAACATCATCCCTCTCTCTCACTGACACCCTCCCACCTATGCTCTTCTGCCCCCCCCCCCACCTTCCACCTTAGCTTCTTCTCCTTGTCCTCATCCTACTGCTTCTCCTCTCTGCCTACTCCAAGATTTTAAAAAAATGAAAACTGTTTACTAAAGTTTTTTTTTTTTTTAATATGCACCCTGGAGCAGTCCAGAAATCTTCACTGCATAGTTGCCAGAATAAGGAACCAAATATGGAAGTGGTGCAAAGGCTAATAAACTTTATTTACCAAATCAACTGATTTCATGATTTTGTTGTGATACATACATCATACATACATCATACATACAGGCCATCTCCTTACAAACAACCTGAGTATATAAAGTTACCCTTTTCCCTGATTTTACAAATAAAACAAAAGTATGATATGTTCACCCTTGCCCTTCTATTTCATATTCATTTCCCATTTTCTGTTTAAGTGCATATTCCTCATGTAAACATTGCTAGGTTAAATACAGACCACTTTTAATCTTCAAAAAATGGGAGTGTCTTTACAGAGTAAAAAGAGGAAACAGATATTTTCTCTATATCTATATCATGAGATATATTCTCGTATGAGAATGAATCTGATGATCATTTCCATCGCAGTCAGAGTGGGTTATGTAAGCAACCAACATCCCGGGTGTACAGTGCAGAGTCTTGTGGTCCAGTTTTGTCATCATGGTGCTGAACAATGTAAGCAACCAACATCCCGGGTGTGTTGCAAGCCATGCGCCATGAACACCCATGAGGGGTGATAAGACTCTGTGCCTCCCCTATGTAAAGTTATTTTGTGTAAATTTTTTTAGCCTTTAGGATTGATGGGGTGATCTGCCCCCCCAACATCCCCCAGGAAACATTCTCTTCACCTCAGTATGTACGTCCATACTGTAAAGAATATACCAAATAACCTTTATATCTCAAAACACCAAACTTTCCTTCACTTCTGTCAATTGTCTGGATTGCTTGATTTCTAATCACTTTCTTCCGCATTTGCAGCACTTGATGGGCTCACATATCAAGGTGTGATAGTTACTAAAGTCTACTTCTTCTGCATAACCATTATATTGTTTTTGAAATGACCTGGAATCAACACAAAAATGAAAACAAAACATTTTTCACCAGCACTTTGTCAGGAAATGGCAAGTCCCGCTCTTGAAATTTCAGGTGGTGAACAAGTGTGCAGAAAGTTTTGTACAGAATAGCAGAAATCACTATCAAACATATTTAAGAAGTTTAATAAAAATTAAAGGTGTATAAAATACATGAATTACGAGTAGCAGACATTGAAATTACAAAATAATTGTTTTCACAAGTGCATAGTAATACATGAGCTAGTTGACAGATCCCAGTAATGAGTCATGCAGTCATAATAATATTTTCCTTCCCAATGTCAACATGGCAAGGGACTTAGAAAAAAAATGGGTCAAGTAAGTAAGTAATAATGACAAGAAAATAAATGTGCTAGACATCAAAGGTCATACAGCACTATGGTATTGTATTGTGTTGGGAGGGTTTTTAAAGATCCTTATTAGAGTTAAAGTGTTAAGTTTCGACGGTCATTTATTGTATAATAGTATAGTATTTAAAGGAGTAGGAGGAGAGGGTAGATGGGGGTAGGATAGGTATTGATGAAAAGAGGAAGAGTTAAGGACAATGGATGGTTAGATCAAATGAAGGATATTTATGCATCTGAGGAAGGAGAATAAATTATCAATAGAAAAGGTGGGGGATTCTGTAAGGATGTCTGACAGGTTGGGGGGTTGGGGAAGAAGGGATATGTGAGGGTAAGTAAGGGTATGGGCTTCGGTAAAGCGAGGGCAGGATATCAGGATATATGAGACAGAGAGAAGGACACTGCATGTAGAGCATAGAGGTAGGCTAGAGGAATGTGACATGAGGTGTGAGTGAGTGCTTCTGGTGTGGCCTATTCGTAGGCGGGCAAGGGCAATTTCCCAACATCTGTTTTGATGGTATGGAGCTGGGTATCCAGCACAAAATTCACTGTTTTCTGTTGTGTAAACATATAGAACAGCTGATCGTCTATCTTATGGGCTATAGGGTTGATAAGGTGTATGGATTGTATGAGTGATATTGAGTTACGTGTGTCAGAGAAGATGGTGAAGGATGAGGAAGAGATGGAAGATATGCATTGTAGAGCAAAGAGGATAGCATATAGTTCTGCTGTAAGGACGCTCGATTCAGGTGGAAGAGGAAAGCTGTATGTCTGAAAGGGAAAGACTATAGCAAAACCAGCACCTGAGCTGGATTTAGACCCATCAGTATAGATATGAGTGCTAGAGGAGTGACTAGAGAGATGAGCAAGGAAATGTGTGAGAAGGATAGAAGGTGGAATGTTTGACTTTGGTAGATCAGGGAAAATAGAGGAGCAATTACAAGAGACTGGTACTAGCCAGGGAGGGAAAGTTTGGGTAGAAAGAGGAAGAATTCGGAGATGAGGAAAGGATGAATGGGAAAGAAGAGTGTCCATACGAACAGGGAAAGGGACAGGTAAATGTGGAGAGGAAGAGAAGATACGAAGCAGAGGTTGAGAGACAGTTAGTTTGGAGAGTGAAAATTGGTGGAAGCAAGCATAGTTTCTTAGGGACAGAAGAGCACTACATCTAGAGAGGGATGGCAGTCCTGACTCAACTTATAGGCTCTCAACTGGAGAGGATCGGAAAGCTCCTAGGGCTAAGCGGAGACCGCAATGGTGGATAGGATCAAGGAGAGAGAGAAGAGAGGCAGAGGCAGAAGAATATGTGGCAACTATAGTCAAAGGTGGAGAGGATTAAAGTAATATGGAGATGAAGGAGTGTTTTGCAGTCTGATCCCCAGGATAGGTGGGAGAGGGTTTGTAATAGTCGGAGGTGATGGCAAGCTTTTTCTTTAATAGAAAGGACATGATCCCGCCAAGATAACTTGGAGTCAAAAATAACTCCAAGAAACTGGCCAGAAGATCAGGATTGGATGGGGGTATTATAAAGGAGGAGTGGAGGTTGGGAGCCTATTCGTGAACGAGAGAAAAGGATGGAGAAGGTTTTAGAGGTAGAGAAACAAAAGCCATGGTTGTTAGCCCATGAAGAGATTGATGTTATTGACGACTGGATAAGTTGATGGAGAACTTTTATGGAATGGTCAGAGGTGAAGATGGCTAGATCATCTACATACAGTGATGAACGGATTTTTGATGGTAAAGCAGATACTAATCCATTTACAGCTATGAGGAACTGTGTGGTGCTCAGTACACTGCCTTGTAGGACACCTTCAAATTGAGGAAAACAGGGGGAAGTGGAAGAAGCAAATCTGACACGGAAGGTACGATTAGAGAGGAAGGATTTTATAAATACACCCACGTATTACGTGGAGATATAGCTGTGGTAGTATATGGTGCTGCCAAATAGTATCATATGCTTTTTCAAGATCATAAAAGACAACTAACACTGACTTGCAGCATGCAAATGCTGAAGTGATTATTGTTTCTGCATAGGCTAGTGGGTCAGCTGTGCTTTTGCCATGATGAAATCTGAATTGATTTGGTAAAATGATTTTGTGGTATTCTAGGTACCACATAATCTGAAATTTATCATTCATTCCATTAATTTAAATAGGCAGCTTGTAAGGGCTATGGGGTGGTAGTCTTGGGGAAGAGTACCTGTTTTGTTAGATTTCAGGAAAGGTAATACTATGGCTTCTCTCCAGTGGGGAGGAAAGTTTCCAGTCATCCATATGTTATTGAATATTAAAAGAAGGAAAGATAAGGAAGTACGAGAAAGGTGTCTTAGAACACGGTAATGTATACCGTCTGGGCCTTCATGGGTGTTGCGGTATGACTGAAGTGCATTATAGATCTCAGAAGAAGAAAAGGGTGCATTATAAGGTTCTGTAGATGGTAGGAGGAGGGGTCGGAAAACCATCAAAATCAAATTCAGATAGGCAATTTGATGAAGGGACAAGCCTTAATGCCTCTATTAAGGGTAAAGAATCTTCATTACTGGCCATGGTGAAGCTGAATAAACTGGGGAAAAGAAATAGTCTACCCCTTAGGGTCCTCATAAAGGTTAAGGGCTAAGTAATAAACCAAGGAAATACCGTGCCCATGGCTCCCGGAGGCCGTTTGTGACTGACACAAAGCCAGCCTTTCATCCTTTCAGCACGGCTCTCACTCCTAAGGAATGGGATAGAAGAAGGGAGTAAAGAAGATACGGAAGAGGAAAGAAGAGAAAAAAGGACCAAGCAAAATTAGTTGAGACAAGGGCTGAGGCCCAAGGTAGGGGTAATCCTCTACATTGGGTCTCAGTCCCCGTCTCCTAAGCCCTCCCATGACAACAACAAGCTAGGTTTTGGGAGGATCTTGCCATACATAACGAGGTTAATAGAATGTTTCCCAGAGGGTGTTAGGGGGCAGATCCCCAGATCAACCTGCCCCCCGGCAGCGCCCAAAGAGCATACCTTGTCATGGCAAATTAAATTGTTAGATTAGGTTGGTTTATTGGTCAGTTCATTTTTGGGGATTTTGAACGTGTGAATTTCCATAGATTTTACCAAAAGGTGGGCTGGATTACCGTAGTTTAGTTCAATTTTGTCGCATCGGCACGTAGACTAAAAAATGGCGGTTAACTCTATAAAATTTCATTGGCCAATTTTAGGTTATTATTTTTTATGCTGGTTTATGCTAATCTAAGCCTGTTTTACCCAGAAATTTCCCTGATATCCTTCATGGTTTCCCCTGCTATCAAGACTATCAAATCAAGATCGTCAATGGAGAAATAGTACTCAATCTTATTGATTAACTCGCAGAAGAAACAACACCAAGAACCGATGAAATCATTGGATTTCCTGCAGAGGTGCATCATCATAGGTATCAATTACCCATATTTGTTTTTAAGGTATATCTAAATCTAATAACCACGCTAAGATTGGAAAAATAAAAGGGTACTGTCATAAAGATATGTAAAAAATTCACAAACTCATATATGATATGATCTGCACGGGCAAAGAATAACGTCAGAATTTTTTTAAATATGTCTCGACCTCAATTACCACTTTTAATGACAGGCTCTTAACAAGTTCCTAACCCAGCTTTTAAGGGTTAATGACCCTGGTCATTCTTTCTTCCTCGGGTGTAAGAAATGGAACAGCATTTGTATCCCATGTGTGACTGTGGTTTTGGGGATTTTTTTTCACAATGATGATACAGAAGGATTAATTACACTGTGCCAAGAGTAAAATCTAATTTTGACAAATTTAACCCAGTAGCAACAGACCATTTGGAAGCCGACAATCATGGTTTCTGGGTGATATCAAAATTGGCATGCGGGCCAGTCTGGGAACCGGCCCGCCTGCCACTCACCACGGGCAACAAAATCAGAGCACAAGCTCCAATCTAGCGTTGCAACGGTGGGATAGCCGGCAATGTTTATTTTTCCGAGTATCATATATGTATGACACCCGTCACAAGTGTCACGGTAACTTCCAATCAGACGTTAAGAAAATTACATTACTTCCTCCTTACTGGGGTCAGAGAGCAGAGCTCCCAATACAGAAATACGACAATTGGGAGGTGGTTAGGGGGGCAGAGCCTCCAGGTTAGGGTGTTCTTAGGTTCCTTCGCGATCTTTATGATGGATTGTGTTTATTTTATTCACTCGCTTGTTCGTTCGCACAACGCGAACAACTTTCATGACTAAATGACACGACCTCTTAGTCTTATTCTCCTTTCTTTAAAACTCACGCCATTACCGTACCTGTTCTGGCTTTTTCTTAGTCTTGACCAACTCGTCTCTTCGAGGGATTGTTCCTCCATCACATCCCATGGTCTCTGCTCTCGGTACAAATTAATAAACCAAGATCTCCTAACGTTTCCTGAAAGTATTGTATGTAAACAAAAATCAGCTGACTCGCGCATGCGCAGCTCAACACAATATCGCCATCTGTCGACGAGATATGCAACTAGTGGCAAATTATCTAAATTTTTATTATTCTTAACATTATTGATGCCATAATTATCATTATCATCAGTGTTGTTATCATTAATATGATGTCCTCAACGTTATCATTAATATGATGTTTTCAACATTATCATTACTATTACCATCATTCATCATCATTATTAATTATTATTTTTGTCATTATTATTTCTATTATCATTATCATTATTATAATTGTTGTTGTTAGTATTATTGTTATCATCATCATCATCATCATCATTATCATTATCATTATCATTATCATCATCATCATCATCATCATCATCATCATTATTATTATTATTATTATCATTATTATTATTATTATATTATCATTATTATTATTTTTATTATCATTATCATTACTATTATAATCATCATTATTATATGCAAGATATGCAACTAATGGCAAATTATCTAAATAATATTTATCATTCTCAACATTATTACTGTCATAATTATCATTATCATTATTATTGTTATCATCAATATTATGTTTTCAACATTATCATTACTATTATCATCATTCATCATTATTAATTATCATCTTTATTTTCATCATTATTATTTTATCATATTATCATTATCATAATTTGTTGTTGTTATCATTATTTTATTATTATTATTATTATTTATTATTATTATTATTATTATTATTATTATTATTATTATTATTATCATATTATTATTATTATTATTATTATTATTATTATTATTATTATTATTATTATTATTATTATTATTATTATTATTATTATTATTATTATTATTATTTATTATTATTATTATTATATTATTATTATTATTATTATTATTATTATTATTATTATTATTATTATTATTATACTACTACTTATTACTATTACTACTACTACTATTGTTATTATCAATACTATTATATTATTATTACTGTTATTATTATTATTATTATTATCATTACTATTTTTATTATCATCACTATTATTATTATTATTATTATTATTATTATTATTTTATTATTATTATTATTATTATTATTATTATTATTATTATCATTATTATAATTATCAAAATCATAATTATTATTATTATTATTATCATTATCATTATTATCATTATTATCATTATTACTATTATCATTACTATTATTATTATCGTTGTTGTTCTTATGATCATTATCATTATTATTGTTATCATTATCATTGTTGTTATTTTTATAAGTATCATTATTACAATCATTATCATTATTTCTCTCGTTATCATTATTTCTCTCATTATCATTATAATTATCATTATCATTATTATCCTTATCATTATTACTAATGGTTAATGGTTAAAATAAATGTGCTAGACATCTAAGGTCATATAGCACTATAGGAAGGTATAGTAAAGGGGATGTCAGGTGATAGTTGCTATGTGTCAACTATTTAGAGTAGTGTTGAAAGGTTGAAGATGAGGGAAAAGGTTATGGTGGTTTAGGTAAGGGAGTTAGATCAGGTGAAGGATATTTATGCGTCTGAGGAAGGAGAACAGGTTGTCAAGGCAGAAGCTGTGGGATTCTGTAAGGATGTCTGATATGTTGGGAGGTCGGTGAAGGGAGGATAGGTGTGGAAAGGCAGAGGTACGTGCTGTATTAAAGCGTGGACAGGACAAGAGAATGTGTGGAACTGAAAGAGGAACGTTACATAAAGGACATAGGGGCGGGTCAGAGCGTGACATTAGATAGGCGTGTGTTAGGCGAGTGTGGCCAATACGTAAGCGTGCGAGGGCCGTCTCCCGTCTGTTCCTGTGAAATGGAGCTGACCAAGAGGAGATTGATGGTTTTACATTATGTATTTTATTGTTGTGGAGTCTTGACTAGAAAGATTGCCATCGGGTATACAAGAAGGTTTTAAAGTGGGGGTAATAATCCGTAGCTGGAATATGTGAGAAGCGTAGTTGAGGTGATGTGGACATTGCGTATCTGTATGTTCAATGCCAGGGATTCCAACATAGTTGGGTACCCAGCAAAATCTGACAGATTTGTGACGTGTGGATAGATAGAACAACCAGTTCTGGATCTTACAGACAAGGGGATTGGTCGAGTGCATTGACTTTATGAGGCTTAAAGAGTTACGGGAGTCAGTAAAAATAGTGAAAGAGGGTGATGGGGATAAGTATATGCGTCTTAAGGCAAAAGGAGTGCATACAGTTCTGTAGCAAGGACACTAGATTCAGGAGGGAGGGTGTATTTGAAAGTGCGATTTGGGAAGGTTACTGCGAATCCAGCTCCTGAGATGGATTTGGAACCGTCAGTGTAAACATGAATGCTGGAGGAATGAATGGAGACATGGTCAAGGAAATGTGTGAGAAGGATAGAGGGGGGAATATCTGATTTTGGGTCAGGGAAAACTGAGGAGCAAATACAGGGGTTAGGTATAAGCCATGGAGGAATGGAATGGACAGAAAGTGGGAGAGGTCGGAGGTGAGGAAAGGGGAATGGGAGAGGAGGGTATCCATGCGTACGGGGAAAGGAGTAGGTAAACGTGGAGAAGAGATAAAGGTAAGAAGCAAGGATTGTGGAATAGTTAGTTTGGTAAGGGTAAGTTTGGTGAAATCGAGCATAGCATCGGAGAGAGAGAAGGGCTCGACGTCGAGAGAGGGATGGCATGCCAGATTCAGTATACAGGCTCTCAACTGGAGAGGAGCGGAAGGCGCCTTAGGCTAAGCGGAGACCGCTGTGGTGGATTGTATCAAGGTGAGCTAGCAGGGAGGTTGAGGCAGAGGAGTAGATATGGCATCCATAATCTAGAGTGGAGAGGATCAAGGTAACATGATGGAGGAGAGTTTTGCGGTCTGAGCCCCAGAAGATGTGGGGAAGAGTTCATAAGATTCGGAGGCGGCGTTGAGCTTTTTCTTTGATGTACAAGATATGGTCTCGCCAGGATAATTTGGAATCAAATATAACGCCTAGGAATTTGCCAGAAGAACGGTATTGGAGTGGAGCGTTATATAAGAAGAGTGGGGTTTGGGGGACCGTACGTGAGCGAGATTTGGAGGCAGAGAAGCGAAAGCCATGGTTAGTGGCCCAAGTAGTTACTGATGTTATTGCAGACTGAAGGAATTGTCAGAGATCTGGTATGGATGTGCCAAATAAATAGATTGTTAAGTTATCAACATATAGTGATGCCCGGGCTCCTGGTGGTAGGACTGAGACTATGGCATTTACAGCAAGAAGGAATAAAGTGGTACTAAACACACTTCCTTGTGGGACGCCTTCGAACTGAGAAAAGGATGATGACGTGGAAGAGGCAATTTTGACCTGGAAAGTACGTTTAGAAAGGAAAGATTTTATGAAAACGCCCATGTTTCCACATAAACCTAGGGAGGACAATTGTTGGAGGTACCGCCATGTGGTATCATGTTTTTTTTCTAGATCAAAGAATATGGCTAATACGGATTCATGGCGTGCAAATGCAGATGTAATATATGTCACGAAATGGTTGAGTGAGTCTGCTGTACTTTGGGCACGTCGGAAACCAAACTGGGAAGGGGAAAGGAGATTATGAGATTCAATATACCACATTAAGCGGAAGTTAACCATTCGTTCTAGTAGTTTGCACAAGCAGCTAGTTAGAACAATGGGGCGGTAATCTTGGGGTAGAGTACCTGATTTATTGGGTTTTAAGAAAGGCAGGATAAGAGCATCTCGCCAATGAGAAGGAAAATTTCCTGACGTCCATATGTGGTTGAAAATAGTTAAAAGAGAGGATACAGAGGAAGATGGGAGGTGTCGGTGCATACGAAAGTGAATACCATCAGGGCCTTCATAAGCGTTGCGGCACGACTGTAATGCAGCGTTGAGTTCAGAAGAAGAAAAAAAAGCATTATAGGACTCATCAGAGGATAGGGTGAATGTAATAGGGATGCGTTCCTTGATGGCTTTAATGGAAGAAAAGTGTGGGGAAAGGTGAGAGCCACTACTGACCTGGCTGAAATAGTTGATCAGTTCATTAGCTACTTCGGCAGGCTCAGAGATGAGAGTATCTCGAATATGGAGGACGGGTGCAGGATGGGGGGGGATGTTTGCCTAATGATTTATGGATCCGTCGCCAAACAGCTGAAATAGATGTAGATGTAATTGAGGAAACATAATTTTGCCAGCTATTTGTTTTACTGTTTCTGATTGTACGGCGAAGATGGGCAGATGCTCTTTTAAAGGAAATAAGGGCTGATAGCTGGTGAGGGGTGTCTCGTTTGTAGCGATAGCTGCTCCAGGCTGCTCGTTTTAAGCGAAGCGCTTTGGTGCAATCAGAGTTCCACCATGGAACACATTTAGAGGTATAAGGTCTTGAAGTTCGAGGAATGGCTGAATAGGTAGCTCTTAGGATCGTGGTTGTAAAACATTGTAGCATATCTGAAATGAACGGTAAGGGGGGTGGAGGGATAGGTATAGTAGAGAGTGAAGTGAAAGTACGCCAGTCCGCTCTATCAAAGCACCAGCGTGGAAGATTAGGAAGTGGTACATATGAAGTAGGAGAAAGGAGTATTGGGAAGTGGTCACCATAGGGGAAGTGGTCTAGAACTGACCAATGGAAATCTAAATGAAGAGTAGGGGTGCATAGAGAGAGGTCAAGGCATGAAAAGGATTGCGTGCGCATGTCAGTGTGTGGGGCGATCTGAATTAAGAATAATTAGGTTATCTATGGAGAGGAAGCGTTCTAGAGACCGGCCTCGGGAGTTGAAATCACCAACTACGAGGAAAGGTGGTTGGAGTTGGGAAATTCGAGTGTCAAAGGCAACAAAGTCAATGGGATGGGATGGGGAGAAGTAGACTGAAATCACTGATCCAACGGCGAAGAAAGATGCGAATAACTGTGCACGGGACAGTAGTTTGTATGGGAGGTATGACATAAGGTGTTTTATGATGGATAAGTATAGACGAGACATAAATGGAGTGTGGGGAAGAGATAAAATGGTAATTGGGAATTGGAATAGGAAGATGTGTGAGGAAAGTCTCTTGGAGGCAGATAATAGATGGATTATAAGAAGCAAGGATATGACGTATGTCTGGTCTGTGAGAACGGAAACCGCGATTATTCCAATGTAGGAGAGCTATATCTTATTTTATGAGTGAGAGCGTCGGTACGTATTGGGAAATCGGGGGGGGGGGGAGCTAGGGGGTGTAAAGGAGGGGTATCAGGAGGTAGGGAATCTGGGGAAGGGTATTGTTGTGACATGAGTGATTCTCGTGTGTATCCGGGAGGGAGTGGAAAGGGTAGAGAGGGATAGAGGGAGGGAGAATATGCGTATATAGTTGGGGTTGAAGGGGGTGGGTTGTGTTGGGAGGAGTAGGAGGAAGTGGTGTGGGGGGAGTATTAGTGCTAGGAGGATGGATATCGGAAGGATGGATAGCAAGAGTTGAAGGGGACATCATGTCTTGGGAGGGATTAGGAGGAAGGGGTGTAGGGGTGCTGTGAGTAAGAGGGAATATGTAATCAGGAGGTGGGAATTGGGAGGATGGACATCGGTGGTGGATGGAATTGAGGGGGTTAGGTTGTGTAGAGAGGGAGTAGGAGGAAGGGGTGTAGGGGGAATATTAGTAGGAGGGGTATGAATACCGGCAACCACTTCAAGTGTGGAAGGAGCATGAGTTATGGGATCTTGTGTCTCAAGCATATAGCTTTGAATGTCATCCATAGTTTCTGCAGTGGAGTTGGTTGGAGAGTTTTGTGGGACAATGGTTTTCTTTTGAGGGGGGGAAGAGGAGACTGGTGTCTCAGGAATAAAGGTAAAGGTAGGTGGAGGTGATTGTGCTGTAGGGGACGAGGGGTTAGAACGTTTAGTCTGTCTACTGCGGGTAGTGCGGGGAGGGAGAGGGGATGGTGTTGGGGCTGTAGTTGAGATTGGGCTGAGGCCCGAGGTAGGGGAAATCCTCTACATTGGGTCTCAGTCCCCATCTCCTAAGCCCTCCCACGACGACAACAAGCTAGGTTTTGGAAGGGTACATATGTATATAATATATATATATATATATATATATATATATATATATATATATATATATATATATATACACACACACACACACACACACACACACACACACACACACACACACACACACACACACACACACACACACACACACACACACACACACACACACACACACACACACATATATAATATATATATACACACACACACACCACACACACACATACATAATACACACACACACACACACACACACACACACACACACACACACACACACACACACACACACACACACACACACACATATATATATATATTTTTTTTTATTATATACAAATATATTTTTTCTTTCTTTCTTTCTTCTTTTTATATATACATAAAAAAAAAAAAAAAAAAAAAATATATATATATATATATATATATATATATATATATATATATATATATATATATATATATATATATATATCATCATCATAAGAGCAAATGCCGACAAGGACGCATAGCTGCGTCCACTCTTCATTTCCCCCTTTTGGGGACCCTCATGGCAAGCCGCGAGGCAGGGACTCAGCCCATCTCGAGCTTTCACGACAGGTTTGATCAATCTGCCCAAGCCACAACTTCCTAGATCATCCCACAGGCCTACTCAACCCAAGGTTGTCTCTTACAGCGACAACCTGGTGGGCAGGATCATCCTGTGGGAAGCTAGCAAGGTGGCCATACAGCCTGAGTTGCTGATCACGGATTGTGCAAGTAACAGGTACTGTGCCAGTTTCACAGTGCAACTGTTAGTTGGACACGTGGTCCTGCCAACAGTGCCTCATGATCTGGCATCAAGATGAGACTGCATAGAGACTACTGTACAAACTGGCCAGGGCCTTAAACATACCAGCATCTCCACCCTTGCATGACCTCAGGCCAATCTGTCTGTTGACTTCCTGGTCTGACAGCCCAAAGTTATGAACTACACTACCAAGGTATGTAAAGCTTGGTACTGACCGAACAGGTATATATATATATATATATATATATATATATATATATATATATTATATATATATATATTATATATATATATATATCTTTTCTGTTGGAAAGATGTCTTTATGAATAGCTGGAAAACAAATCATACATAACTTTGACATTCTGTTATTCATTTTATTTCCTTTTGCATATGAAAATATGAATGTTCCATAAAAAGTATAACTTCAAAATATACTTCTAAATAAATATATATACATATAGACACTAAAATATTATTCCAAAAACTGTGTACACGTCATTTCAGTTGCCTTTTGATTTAATCTCTCACATTATTGCTTCAGAGGATTATAATATAAAATATCTTCATGTTAGAACTAAAACTAAAATACAGTAATTACACCTAACATATCTTATTAATAGAAGCAACCAATCAATCAATAGATGAATAAGACAGCACTTACCAGAACGTTCTAAAAACAATCTAATTTACTATATACAAAAAATATTCCATGACATAAGTACAGAGAACTTACAATAAATAGTAAACCCATTACAAAAGTTTTGGGTGAACTTTCATTGATTTTTTCTTCAGTAAAAAATCAACTCAAATCAATAAACTTAAAATTAAGATAAAAAAGTACCAGAAGCCGTTCACGAGAAACAAAGGCTGACTAGAGCTGGCTTTCCCTCATGACTTTAAAGACGACAAAATTATAAATAATGCACTGAATTTACAGCTTCTTTTTTGGAATGTTTTAATAACTATGACATCCATATCAACCATGACAATAATAATGATGATGATGATGATGATAATAATAATAATAATAATAATAATAATAATAATAATAATAATAATAATAATAATAATAATAATAATAATAATAATAATAATAATAGCAATGATAATAATAATAATGATAATAATAACCAATGATAATAACTATATAATATCAGCAACAACAACAATAATAATAATAATAATATTTACAATAATAATATTAATAATTATGATAATAATAACAATGATCATGATAACAATGACAATAATGATAATAATGATAATAATAATTATGATATTGATAATAATAATAATAATAATGAAAATAATAGCAATGAAAACAATAATAATAACAATAATAATAATAATAATAATAACAATATCAATATCAATAACAATAATAATATTAATAATGACAATAATAGTAATAACAGTAATAACAGTACAAAAATAATGATAATAATAATAATGATCAGGATAATAACAATACTGATAGTAATGATAACACTGATATTAATAATAATAATAATGATGATAAAAAATAATAATAATAAAAATAATAATGAATATAATAATAATAATAATAATAATAATAATAATAATAATAATAATAATAATAATAATAATAATAATAACAGCAATAACAATAATCACAATAATAATATTAATAACAATAATAATAAAGATAATAAAAATAACAATAATAATAATAACTACACCAACAATTATAATAATCATCATCATCACCACTATTACCGGTAACATTATAAAAAAAAAAGGTATGCAAGGCAACTACACAATACATTACATATAATAATTTCAAGGCCGTCAGCTATCCCATTTAAATCTAAAGCATATATTGGAGTCTAGATTTCTGACCTTATCAAGAAAATGGAAAGGTAAAAATAATAATAGAAATAGTCATGAGAGAAAACGTAACAGAAATTTTTGGTTCATTGGTTGAATGACTGATTATTCTCAATTTTCTGATTTAATACTGATATTGTTTAATCTGCAGTGATTATTATTTATACAATTATTAAAGAAAGAACTTACAATAATATCTTCATGATATTACTATGTATGTTCTTTCACAAATCTTGGGACAACTATCGCCCTAAGACAACTGTCCTATTGTCTTCCTTAATTTATATATTAGAAACAAATGGAAGCCTTCTCTCCACTACTTCTAAATCTGTGTAATGGAAATAAGCCTTAAATCTTAAAAGAGATATTTCTGGAAAGTGACTTAACATGAGAACTTTAAGGGATGAAAGATGAGTTCCTATAAATATGCAAAACTTTAATATCCAGTCATCAAAAGATATTTCAATTATTTTCCAATGCAGAGAAAGAACCTTAATCTCCGAGAGTCTTCCTGAAATCGCTAAATTTCTCACAGTATTGTGGATTTCCTGTCCTATCAATTCCAATGTTGTCAGTCTTGGTGCAGCACGGATTATGTTCTCAATATTTTGAGTGTATTGGTCAGTGTTCACTGGATACTCAGTCTCAATACTTAATGTTTCCATATGCTGAAGAGATCTCAAATGAGCTTTTGTATAAGGAGAATTAAATATAAACCTAGTGGCTTTTATGCAAAACAAATTTACATTTGGACAAGCATTAAGATACATGTACAGTGTTTCAACGTCCATAGGCACACACATAGACAGATGCAATTCCTTTAACTTAGGACCCAACTCTTCAAGGAGTACTGTGGCTATCAAACTTGTGTTCACAGCATTGGGATATATTGCAAGAAAAACACTAGAACATCCCAATAGTTTTAAAAGATCTTTTATCTTAGACAGAGCTTCTGAATAATGGGAAGCACTTATATCCCTGCAGGAAAATGAGAAATGTCTCACTAAAGAATAAGTAACTGTTGGATCATACTCTTTTAATGCACCAGCAGTTGGAGGAACTGCAAATCTAACTGTGTCTACTTTAAATGTTCCTTTTCCTTTTAAACAAGCAGGTGGATCCAGCAGTGATTTGAAGACCACTGGATAAACCCCAGCTCCACTTATGAATTTGTTTATATTACACTGAACACCTGGATAGAAAAACTGAAGGAAAAACAAGAATTCATCAAAGTTCTTCCTGTGCAACTCTAATTTGACTCTCTTCAGTTTGGAAAATGACAAAGGGCAAGCAGATTTATTGTCCACATATTCCAACACTTTCACTTTCTTCAAACCTTTGAAAAAGGTTGTGAAAAGGCATTCCTCACTGATGTTATTCCTGCCACTCAGCGTTATGAACTCTAGACGTGGACACCATTTTTTCAGCTGCAACAAGATGTAGTCACTTAAGTTGTAACGTAAGTGTATCTCCTTCAGGTATGGGGAGTTTTGTAACAATATAACAATGGGTACAGGATGATCAAAAAGGATAGAAGTTGTGTGTAAGGTCTCCAGTGCAAAGGGTGCCATGGCCTGTAGAAAATTGCCAACTGTTTGAGAGACTGCTTTGGTGAAATGCTGAAAAGCAAAAAAATAAATAAATAAATAAATAAATAAAATAAAAAATAAGGGATAAGAATGAATTCAACCTATCAGTTTAAGGTGGTCCATTATTTTATATGTATAAACAATATCTCCATCTTTACTAACATTTACACAATTTTCTGCTATATTTTGCATCATGCGTAACATATATCAATCAAATCTAATTTAGTAACATATGCACCAGATAATCTTTTTATATTCATTTTGAAAAATAAAGTATGAAAACCAAAAAGATCAATTGTTTCTCTTTTATATATAAGCAAAACTTACATCACACATAATTGGGGACAAGGATTCCACTTCATTGCAAAACATTGCTTGCAAAATGAACACGAACAGCGGTACTGGTAGGTCGTGTATGAGCAAGACCCTAAGAACGTCACTGAAAGCTCTTCCAACAAGCATGCGAATTACTGAATGTGGATTGCCAAACCATTCATTCTTGTCGTACCAGTATTTCACATCCTGCAGAAGAGTTTGGAATAATTCATAAATGTCTTAATTCAAAATAATTATAGCATGCCTTTCTTTTTGTAAAATCAATAATAATCAATGGTGCTTTATAATCAATTCAATTTTCTTCCTTCCCTTGGGAGAGGAAGAGGGAGAGGCAGAGAGAGCGCGGCTACAAGATGGCCACCAACTCTAAGAGATATGAACTATGAAGATAGACTACAGAAATTAGGACCTACAACTTTGGACGAGCTGTTCAAATATATAAGTTGTTCAAATATATTACAGGAAGAGTGAAATTAGAAAAAGATGACTTTCTAAAAAAAACTGGTATCCCAAACAGAATTATTGATACCTAGAATAATGTGTGAAAAAAAACTTGAATCAATTTAAAGAGTTATACAACTTAAATATAGCAGATGGAACCATCTGAACCATCTGAGATCAGCTCTTCTTCCATATTGAAACAACTAGGTAAGAATAACAAGGTATGAACACACACACACACACACACACACACACACACACACACACACACACACACACACACACACACACACACACACACACACACACATACATACATACATACATATATATATGTGTGTGTGTGTGTGTGTGTGTGTGTGTGTGTGTGTGTGTGTGTGTGTGTGTGTGTGTGTGTGTGTGTGTGTGTGTGTGTGTGTGTGTGTGTGTGTGTGTGTGTGTGTGTGTGTGTGTGTGTGTGTGTGTGTGTGTGTGTGTGTGTGTGTGTGTGTGTGTGTGTGTGTGTGTGTGTGTGTGTGTGTGTGTGTGTGTGTGTGTGTGTGTACACATACAAGGACACAGACAAGGACACATACCAGGAAACGTACAAGGACACATACCAGGACATGTACAAGGACACGCAGAAGGATAAGTACACGCATGTAATGATTGAATAAATATATGAATAACCTTAGACACACACAAACTCCCTTGAGATACTTACAACTAATAATTTCTTAGCTTCTTCGATCCTTGGTCCCTGCGCTGAGCTCTCCATCGCATTAACAGAATACTGCCTGTTGACCCAACATCGTCTTAGGCTTGGCAAGCAACGATTAATAACTTGTTTTGCAAATGCTTCCGATGCTTGCTTAAATAGACTTTTGGGCTTCATTTTCAACTCCTTTTCTGTTTTCTGAGCTTAATTTATTGTACCTATAAAAATAATTCTGATTATAGATAATCTAATAAAATCTAGGCAAATCAATGCTTATGAATAATCAAGAACTTCTAAACTGTTCTATCTAATAATATGGTCAAAATATATTCTTCACTACAAGTGATGACAGAAGTCTGTTTACCACTTTATTACTCATCTATATCATAAGCACAATGCTCATGTTAACGGAATCTCTTTCAAGAGTGCATTAATGTGAACATATCAATGCTGATGTTATAATAGAAAGCTTAAATCAAAAAATCATTTATCAAGATTATTTACAGATAATTGGTCGGAGAATACCTTTGGATACACATACCTTCATATCACCAATCTGTTATATAAATGGTTCAGAGGTAAAAATACAGAACTACATAGGATTCCAAAATAGGGTTTTGGACTTAGGGGACCGTCCCAAAGGGTGGGGGGGGGGGGGGTCAAACTAGCGTATAGTATAGGTACGTGGATGAGGAAACTACCAAATGAGTATTAAACACCTGCTATGGCTCTTTGTCTTGCAGCCAACGCGATAGCCGCTGAACACCTGGGGAGGTATGTCCCTAATGAGCACCCAGGTACACCTATGTGGACTTCTGCTTGTTACAATTGTGCATACGGCATTTGATTATGACATTGCGCATAGATAGAGTTCATGAATGTTCAAGGAACACTTTTATATCAATATCAGGAAAAAATTATATCACTGTGATTTATGACAAAATATTTTGTGAAATATCTAAAAAAAAATGTAAGTTTTGTGTCCTTTTACACACAAAATATACTTTGATCGAGACTCCCTGGTAATATGTTTTAGTTTATGAAATAATCTGTACATATATCATGTATGAAGCATTAATGTTTGAAAATAGCTTTATAAGTAAGGATTGAAATATTTCTGTTACATTTCGCTCAACAGTTGGTACATCACAGCATGGGTAAATTTGATTTGATTTGAAATTGGTAGTTACCATTGTTAAGACCAATTCAATACGAATGTCACCTATATGAAGATTTCTGAACTTCGGATGTATAAGCGAGATACAGATTATTTCATAATGAAGAGGATAGTATATGAAACAAAGTGCAATTCTATAATCTATATCATGCAAAAAGAATCGATCAGTTATTTCTAACTGATATCTTTTTATGATGTAATGAGTAGGGAAAGGTGGTCATTTCCCGGGACGGTCCCCTTAAAACAATACTGACTATGCTTAACCCAAAACTTAAAATTTACTATGATTCTTGGATGGAAGAACAAGTTAATAGGGCCCCTGTGTTAAGCCACCATTACCACTTCTATACTTCGCACTCTGGCAAAAACCTCGAGGAGGAATAAAAGTTAGAGCAAATCAAGTGCCTGGTGTACTTCTTTCTGTTGATGACCAGGGAATGAGACTGTTGGTGAATGTTCTGAATAAACCATAACAAGTAAAAACCATGCACTACATTACTTTGTGTTCTGGCAAAGGCCAACAATCTTCTAGCACATATATTTATCAATTTTTTATTTTGCCTAGATCTCTATTTGAAGACAATCTATCAGGAAATTTAACAAATCCTATCATCAGAAAAACAGTGGAGGTCTGTTAGCCTTTGCTTGAGCATAAAGTATGTATACAGTAGTGTCTTCCACACTTGTACTGAAGGTTGTGAACTTCAATGACAAAGACTTCTACTTTATGCTACCTAATAATACTGCTTCAAGTGTTTGTTATGTCCAATAACATGTTTGACAATATGGTATTTTTTTCTAATAGTTCCTTCTAACAGATTGTGATGATTTTGGTATCATTGGATTCCTCGAGTATCCAAATATATAGAAATTATTGTGTGAAACCCCCAAACCCCACATTCTTGGCCCTAATAGCAGGGGAGGGTAGGAAAGGTACCAGGGAAACTGAAGGGGTAAAATATGAATAATATTATCTGATGAATAATATTGGCTAATACAGGGGGCTGTGCCCCCTGCTAATCCCCCCATGGGGGGCTACTGCCCCCTAACTCCCGCCCCGAAAAACAATGAATCCTCCACTTATTCACGGCAGGAAAGAGCATACAACTGCCATGCGGGAGCTGTGTTGCCAAGTCTATCCAAAGCTCTTTCCTGCTGTGAATATGTGGATTCTTTGTGCTCCTGGGTGGGGACTGTGGGGCAGCAGCCCCCCATGAGGGTGTTGTAGGTGGCACAGCCCCCTGTAGTAGACAATATATTAACTGAGACTGTATAGATTATTCATGATTTACCATGTAATTCCCTGGTGCCTTTCATGCCCTCCCCTACTATTGTTGCTAATCACGGGGTTAGGGGGGTTTCCACAAAATAAGTCCTACATTGACGCACTAGAACAGTGGGAAAGACTATGGTAAATGTCCTTCAAACCTGATAAATGCAAAATTCTCCGCTTTACCAGATCCCACACACCAATCAGCTACACTTACACCTTACACAACCATCACTTAACACCTACAACATCTCATACATACCTCGGTATCCCCCTATCCAATAATCTCACCTTCAACACACACATCGACTCTATCATCAATAAAGCTAACAGAGCACTGGAGTTTCTGTGGAGAAACTTAAATAACTGTACTCCTGACATCAAACATGCAGCTTACAACACACTTGTACGCCCAACACTAGAGTTCTGTACAGCTGTATGGGGCCCCTACACTAAGCACAACATTGAGAAACTCAAGCAGGTTAATACTAGAGCTGCCAGGTTTATTACACACAATTACTCACATACACCAGTTATTACATCTCACATAAAAAAACAGATTAACATGGACCTGCCCAAGACATGAAGACAAGCACACAGACTTATAATCATGTATAAAATCACAAACAACCTTGTAGACATCAACAAATACAAATACTTACACGCAGCACACTCACACAACACAAGGAACTCACACACCAGTAAATTTGTCACATACCACACCAACACTAACTCTTACAAGCACTCATTCTTTCCACATACCATACACGACTGGAACAGGCTCCCCCAACACATAATTGAAACTAAAACACTCAGCACTTTCACAAACAAACTATATAAACACTTAACACTACAAGCACCTTCACAAACACTGACACTTCCGTCTGCACCTTGATCCTTCCCCTTTCCCCCCAGCAACCATTCACCACCAATATGCGTGTTATGCGTTTATTAGCGCCCTGCGCATTATTATTGAGATTGAGAGATTGAGATACATATTTGCATTACAGACAGTGAGACAAATAAATGACATCAACATCGTCCCGATCTGTTACACAGACGTAATAGAAAAAATTATCGACAATATATTGCCAGGCATGCGGTGAGGATAGGTTAGGCAGGAAGGGTCAGAATATGATGGGTTGGGATAGGCTTGGTCAAACTTGGGTAACTATCTACAACCCTTCTAGATACATCACATCTAGTCTTTAACTGAGCGCCGAGGAGTAAGGGGATAAAGCAGCAGCTCTGCAGCTTCTTTCTACACATTGATCACAAAACACAAATGTAAAATACCTGTGGATTTATATAATTTGTACTTCTTCGGGGAATGCCACTTGTTAAGGACAAGACTTCGTAGAGCATTTCTCCGTCCGTAAAGCTATGTCCCCATATATACTTAATCTCAAATACTGCAGTTGTGGAAAAATACAGAAAAAGGGTGTTTTTAACCAGATTTGCCTACATTTATGGCTCATTTTCACGCCATTGGCAGAGAGGACGTCTTTGACTTGGGGAGATGAGTTGCCATCTTTTGTTTTTGTTTGTATTATTGCGGCCCCTGTCACGGCTGGCTGTGATTGGCCACTGGGATACTAAACATGGCTGTGATTGGCTGCTGAGTAAAGCGGGAAATTGCAATACGTTCAAATCGAATTCGCCAGGAACTATTAGAATTTTTAAGATGCACATAAAACCAAAAGTAGAATATGGAATCACAATCTGTGAGGCAGTAAAAAACACAGAATAAAAAACTAGAAACCTTGAAAAATGTTACAAAAAAAACTAGCACCTGGATGTTTTAGGTCAATAGTGATAATTCTCCATCCACTACTAACAAATAGAATGAAAGAACTTGAATGTATACAAATGTAAACCAATTTGATGCCAAACACACTTATTTGTTTCAACTATTAACCATAATGTAAATCAAATACAATGCCAATAGAAATAACAAATACCAAATTACATATAAGACAATAATCCTCTAAAGAGTTAAACCTAGATATGACTCCAAATATATCCCCAATATCCCATGGTATGGTATATCAGAGAACATACAAACAAACTTTAAGGACAATGTAATGAAAAATACTCCTAAAACTATCATTCAGAGACAATACCAAGAATTCATGAATACTACATATAAAAACTTTAGTCAGGAGTACCACTGACAGTTTGAAGATGAATGAACCAGAATTGACCTCAGCAACATTTTTTTATGCACAATAAAAACATTAAAAAAATGGAAATTACCCCTAAAAATACAAATTACTAATGCACAATTAATTGCCATAAAACAGGGTTTGAATTACTTTCAGAAAACAAGCTAACTAACTCAGTAATATAAACACTCATGATTATCACTACAACTAAAACAAAAACCCAAATCAATAAACTATAAACAAATCACATATGAAATACAAAAGCAAATACACTGTCTTTCAATCCAAAACAAAAGATGATGTTAAATGGGATCCATCACACAGGAATATAAAAGGAAATGAAATGAAAGCTGCAAAGAAAGCCCATTAAATATATATATAATCCCATGCTCATACCACAAGACTCAGAGAGTATTATTTAAAAATCAAATTAAAAAACAAAACAATGAGAATCAAATTTAAAGAGAATTCTGAAAACAAAAAGTTATCTCATCAGCTCTGGTCCAACAACCATGGACCAGAGCCAAATACAGAAAACTAAACACATGCATCACAAGAATCATGACCGTACACACATAACTGAAATATCTACACAAAATAAAAATGGAAAACAACCCATGCTGCAGATGGTGCAAGAATCAATTGGAAACCATTTAACACATGATGCTACACTGTCCACACTTTAACAGCCACAGAATAAAACTAATACAAGCTCTTAGAAAAGTTAATATACAAGATATTCATATAAACCTTTTGATTTTAGGTGTAGAGAAGTGAACAACAATAAAGTACTACATACCGAGACATACAAGGATTTTTCTACAAAGAACTAAATTAATACATATAATTCAAGAAAAAAGAAGTTCAAAAGAAGAGGGTCCAGGTCCATACACAATAGTCTAAAACCCTATAACAAGAAAGAAAAATAATTTCTGCCAAATCATGTTACTATGATGGATGCAAATGATGAACGTGTGGAGAAAAAAAAAATTTAATTCCATCCTTTCATTTGAAAATAAATCTACTCTACTTATTGAATATTTTCTGCCACATCCATATCTAAGGTTATTTGCAGTATATATGAAATACAGCAATATGGTGAGGGTTGGGGGTGAATCCCCCAGGTAAGGGAAAATTATACAGCTGTATGAAAAAGTAGTGTGGGAAAAGATTTAAATGAGTTAACAATTAAGACAAAATATATTAGATGTTATAAGCTGTAGAGCACTGTAGGTTAGTATGATAGTGAAAAGGGTAAAGAAGGACTAACCATTCAGGACGGATGCAAAGCCACCCTTTCATCCTTTCAGCATGGCTCTCACACTTTAGGATGTGGACAGAAGGGGATGAAGAAGAGAAGGAAAAGAGGTGGAGAAGAAAAGAGCAACACCTCGACCCTTTGCATGTTAAATCAGAAGATTGGAGAAGAAAAGACCATGCAGAATTAGTAGAGGCAAGGTCTGGAGTCCCAAGTCGGGGTGATCCCCTACATTGAGCCCCTTCATCTCCTAAGCCCCGCCATGACAAAAACAGTGATGGGATTAGGGGGGTTCGAGAATATACAGAAAATATGGATATGGAGTCATTAATATTCTCTCTCTCACTCTCACGTTTCCTTGAAAATGCAGGAAAACCTTTTTTCTACTAATGCTATCAATATTGAAATTGTTTTATTTTTGTTATACACATTATAATTACTATATTGTTACTAACATTACTAACAGCAGTATTATATATTAGAAAATATAAAAAATCAAGGAAAATGGTAAACAGGTGAGACAGGTAGTTCGCAAAGTTGGCTCATTGGTGACAGTACTTGTGGAGCGATCTATATGTAAAACAATTACTAAATTCAAGACACAATGGGCAATGCCATGTACATACATGCCATGCCCGGCAGCTTAGGGTTTATAAAAATAAAATATAGTGAGCAACAAAATAGGGAAGATAAATACAAATATGTATTTTTTTTGTTTATTTATATGCAAACATAGAATACAAAAAGAACTATATATCCGTTTTTTAACCATTATTTGGTTAATCACCATTACTACAATCAGAATATGGAAACCATCACAGATTATTACAGTATTTTTAGTAATATTTTCCTATTTTACAATGTATAAATCAGTATTGTTCAAATGAAATATGCTTATCACTGAAACTTAATAAGATAGGACAAATTGAATGAAAAAGTACATATATTTCATAAATAATCTAACTTCTGACAAAATACGGTAAATTTGTATATCACAGAGATATCAACCCTTGATGTTAGACACCAAATTTTATCTTCCAGTTACCATATACTACATAAGGTACTTGAGAAAAAGGCTCACATTATGAAAGGGAAAAATTGAGTGATGCCATGATGTCATTGAAAAAATGAAAATAGAAAATTATTAAGAAATTTATTCATTATTTTTTTCCTACAAACTAGGACCTGTATTTCTTGAAGAGGAAATGCTGGTGGTCCTTCTTGGAACCTTTCCTCCTTTCACCATAGATCTGGTCATCTGCACCTGACATCGAACCCATGTTTCCGGCTCGACGCATTGAACCACCTCCAGCACGGTCCCCTCCCAAACCCTCCTCATACATATCAGATTCTGAGGCGGCAAGGATCTGCTCAAGCAATGCCACTTTTTCCTCTCTGCTGTTGTAATGCAACTGTGCCTCTTCCATTCCTACCATCTGTGCAGGAGTGACCACCTGATAAGCATAACCCTGATTGATAAGGAAACTCTGCCTCTTGCGTGAGTATCCCATCTCCCTTGTGTCTTGAGAAAGCAATGCATAGAAGAAGGCATTGTAAACCTCAGCTATGGCACCCTTTTTAGCTCTCAAGATACGGCCTAACCTCTGTGCCTCCTGTCGCCTAGATCCTCCCTGCGATGAAATCTCAATCAAGACATTTGCTTCAGGAATGTCAAAGGAAGTATCTGCCACTCGACTGAAGAATATAGTGTTGACTTTGGGGTTTAATTTGAAATTCTGAATAATGGCCATACGTTCCTTCTGACCTGTCTTACCACAGATGTAAGGTTTTCCCATAGTTTTAGCATAATGAATCAGTGCAAATACCTCATCAATAAACACTATAATCTTGTCATTTCGGTTCTCATGGTATTTGATAAGAAATTCACAAGTTCTAAATTTGTTGGGGTTCATTGCACAAAGTAGCCTGATTTTCTGGTCAGATACTTTTCCTGTTAAATACTCTCTATAAAACTCTGGTGTCATGGGGCACCACACTTCTGCACACTGGACCCTTGCAATGAATCCTTCCTTCTGCAACTCAAGCCAATTGGCTTCATACAACTTTGGCCCAATAAGGAAGTTCAGGTCAGCAATTTTGTCATCTTCTCGGACCAAAGTGGCAGTTAGGCCAAGCTTACAGTGGGATTGGACTATGGTAAGGACTCTTCTGAACATTTTGGCAGGAATAGTATGTACTTCATCTAAAACCATAATACCCCATTCCTGTTCCTTCAGCCAATTCATTGTTTGTTCTGCTTCATACGCTCGTTTCTGGTTGTGGGATATCATAGCATAAGTGGTAATCAGAATACCTGCATTGAAAGGTTTGTCTTTGGCATCAGAGGTGAATCTACAAATCATATCATCAGTTGCAGTTGACCACATTTTGAACTGCTGTTTCCACTGTTCAACAGACACTCCTGAGTTACAAAGTACTAAAGCCTTTTTATTCACTGTGCAACATGCTGTAACACCTACTAAACTTTTACCTGCACCACAAGGGAGCACAATGATACCTGATCTTGCTCTTCCATTACCAAACATTTTTCTCAGACTCTTTTCTTGATATGGCCGTAAGACAGCTGAAGGTTTGAGATCAATTTTAATATCTTCATTGACAGTATCATTCTTAAAGTCATACTCTGCCAAAAGTGGGTAATCAAGCCCAATGCAAGTTTTCTGTAGGGTCTCAATTTTATCTTGGTTGACTTCAAATGACAAAGTTTTTAGATTTTTATCCTCTTCTTCTTCTTCATCTGCCTTCTCAAATTTATCATAAAAGTCAGTGATATCCTCAGGGACTGCTTCCCCTTCCTTCACTTCTCCATTAGTTCCTTCTTCTGGGTTACTGTTGGGCTTGGATATATCTGTCCCACCAGCCATTTGTGCTTGATGACTTGTGAACATAATGGCCTGTGACTTTTGACGTTCTGAACTTGTGACTCCTTCATTTGGCCTCAGCATACAATCATAAATGACTGGATGTTTAATGAGTTTCTGGATAACATCAGGGAAATCACTCTCCACATAATATCTATTCTTTTTCAAAACAAGTTTAACTTTACCATAGGAGAGAGTACAACTCTGAATAAACTCACAAATGCCTGGAGGA